CCAGCTTTAATGAATGTAACCTTGTAGTCACCTGGACTCGTGTTGTGAAATCTTTCCTACATGAAGTCAAGAACCCACACACTACCAGCTGGCCCTAGGAAGGCCCACTCAGGGCCAGGCCCCTGTGGAGGAACAGTTCAACTGTTACTGAGGTCAGGGCCTGGGTGAGGCATCATGTGACAGAGACCAAGAGCGGAAAAAAAGACTGTTCTGGTAACTGCGTAGAGACTTCATTTCTTTACTACGACCTTTCTCCTTTCTTTCCTTGTGACTCAAACTGGCCTCACCCAGCCCTCTGACTCACCTGCCTCCTTCTCCCTTGCACATCTACTCCCTTAATCATTAAGCCCTCAGGACAATGAGGTTCTGGTCAGAATCAAATAATGTTAGGGACAAAGCCTCGGGTCTGTTGAGTCCAGAGACAGAATTCCAGTCAAACAAGAGATGACATCTAGGCCTCAGTTGAGTTTCAGCTCCAGGCCCAGAAAAACAAAACCACACAAAACGACACCATGGCTGACATCAGGACCAGATGCAGTGATCAACTATCCCTACCTAGTGCTGACCAATCAGTTGAGACCACAACTCTGACCACGACTCTAATCCCTTTAGTCTCACGATTACTGATTTTCCCCCTATATAACCCACCCCCTGGAAGCCATGGGGAGCCAGGTCTTTGAGCATTAGCTCACCTGCCTCCAGGCGTAGGCCACTTCCAAAAAAACCCCTTACCTTCTTTGCTGCAAACTTCTGTTGGTGTCTTCTTGGGCTCTGAGGTGTGAAGGCAAGCAGATCCCTTTAGTCTGCTATCACTCTAATGCTGAAGAAGAAGAGAGAGGAATTTGCTGAATATAAATCCACTGATCTACCTAGGTACTCAACTGCCCATCAAATAACCGACAAGAATTGCCAAACATCCACCACCAGCAAATCACTGTGGAGAGTAAAGACATGAAAGACCCAGCTCCTGATTCAGAAAAGGAATCTAAATGCCAGCTCTTTCCTTGCAACAAAAAGGTCGATACCCTGTTGGCTCCTCATCTCGAATCTTACATGAAAACAATGAAAAAGAATCTCCTTCCCTTTTTCTGCTAGTATACAAACCTCATTGCTTTTTCCTTTGGGCTTAACTTCCCCCTTTTAAATGTACGAAAGCCTGTTTCTTGCATCTCATAGGCAATTATACTTTTTCAGTGCTGTTCCCAATGACACCAGACTATCATCTAAATGACCCCAACATCTCTCAACAGCTAAACTATGATACTAGCTATGCTTGCTTGTGGGAACAGAAAAGCATTTCTGATCTCAAAATGAAGAGAAGAGGGACGAGTGCAAAGGCGTCGATGGCAGTGAGGCATCGTGTGCAGAAAGGACCGTGTGCAAAGCGGCTGACTGCAGCACAAGAATAACTACGCATACCTACAAAGAATGTGCTCATTTCACACCGCAGGCTACAGCTAGGGAAGGCTCCTTCTCGGCTGGGGAGAAGGTGCTACTAGACCATAAGCTCACCCTTCTCCATTCCTTGACTGAAGAATTAAGTTTGTGCTGTGCTTTATGAAGTGGGTCAAAGTCAAAGAAAGTTAGACATGGACTGTCCTGCATAGAGAGGTACATTGATTCATGCAGTGTGCTTTGTGGAAGACGCCGCTCTTTTTTACCCCTTGGGATGGCTGTTTGCCTTCCATTCATGGGGGTTGTGGTGATAAGGGGTCATATAAATAGAGTTCAGGATGAAAGTGGTAGGATGGGGAAAAATACATTAAAAACCACTTATTTGTCTGGACCCACGGCTAAAGAAATTGTCTCCTTTATTATTTCTGTTTCTTGCTTTTACCATCATATCATTCTTGTCAACATCCAGAGATGCCAACAAAAAGTTCTAATTGAGAAGATCTCTGACCTTGATCTGTGTGAGTTTTGTTCCCATTTTTAGGTGTTTCCTTCAGCATGGAGTACTGCTTAGATTGGTGCTTGCTGCCTGTGTGTATCCTTTGCGGTCACCTGAGTAGCTCCTACTCTAGCATTTGTTTAAGTTTCAACGCCCTCCCCCGCAAATTGACAAAAAAATCAATTAGCCATAGAAAAGTAGACCTTGAGTATCATCAGTTTGCAATGGGTGCCTTGGTCTTGGCTCTGGCTGCCTAGAGAGTATCTCTAACTTTTGGATGAACTTTGTCAAATTCATTCATTCATCAACCACTATTTCAATCGATCAGCCAACCAGTCCCTGCTATAGTCCGTGTATTGTGTTATATGTTATATGTTATGTGTTAATTGTTTTGCTGTTTTAAAAATGGTTTACTTTAAATTCTTCTTCAAGTGAAGCTAATTTCTTTTTTTCACTACATTTGATACTAATTTGATACATAACTCTCTCCTCACCCACCATGAGTGGGGAAAGGGTGTTGAGATGAGAGAACACTTCTCTATTTACCATTTTATTTTTTTAAAGATTTTATTCATTTATTTTTAGACAGAGGAGAAGGGAGGGAGAAAGAGAAGGAGAGAAACATCAATGTGTGGTTGCCTCTTGTGCGTCCCCACTGGGGACATGGCCTGAAACCCAGGTATGTGCACTGGCTGGGAATCAAACCAGAGACCCTTTGGTTTGCAGGCCCATGCTCATTCCACTGAACTACACCAGCCAGGGCTGCTTTAGCATTTTCATATGATTATGCATGTCAGCAAGAAGGGCAAACATATTTAAACTAACCTGTGACTGCTGCTTCTGAAATAGGAAAAAAGGTAAAAGTATGAATCATGTATATCTGGTCGGAGACCAGTTATAAAGCTTGCTGGGCTCACTGCAAAATAAAAATGTGGAGCTCCTTGTTCAAAAATTAATTTCAGGATGGCCAAGTGGAGCATGAGCCCAAGGGTGGGGCACTTCTAAGCACAAGGCAGGCCTTGCGTGGCTGCACAGGCTGCACGCCCAGCAAATGGGCCTTGAGCTTCCTGTTACATGGGGTGGAGATCTCATGATTCTTATACCCGGCTAACAGCTTAATTTTTAGTGAACTACATGGCCAACAAGAACTAAAATAGATACTCTCAAGTTACTGGCTTACAACAACATTTCCAAAGCTGTTGGAGAAATGTTGGGTTAAATATAGTCAAACAGGCTTCTACTGAAAATTTCTGAGAGCCTTTCATATACTAGTAGGCATTATGCATTTCCAGAAATTGCAATAGGATATACTACGTTTGTCAAAAACTGCCTATGGGTTTGAGACGACTACAAATACAAGCAGGAATGAGGCTGTGATCTCAGACAGTGAAAGACTTAAGTTCTAGAGCTGAGCTCTGTCCTCAGCTTCTGACTCCCATACCAAATACATGTGCAGCAGGACAACCGCATACCTGCAGTCAACTTTGGGGAGGGTGAGTTTGAGTTGTGTGAGGGCCTGTGCTGATACTGCAGTTGCTTATCCAATATCTGATTTCTTCTTGCTTGCAACGCCCTGATTTGTTCTTGCTTAGAAATACTCACCTACATGATTCCTGCAGCTTGGGGTGGTCACATGACCTAGTTTTGGCCAAGTGGAAATCTGTGGGGGAGGACTTCTGGGAAATATGTTTCCTAATTAAAAAGAGACAGAGTCCTTTGACATGTGTCTTTTATTCTTCCGACTTCCAAGCTTCCTTTCTGCTTCCAAGTCAGGAAAAATGCCTGTAGGTACAGGACCAAATCATGAGCACGAGGCCAAAAGCCACCAGTGAGGACCTGGGAGCGGGACACTGCAGGGCCCGGTTCCTGGGTGACAACCTTGAGCAGCTGTGCAAGTCCTAAGTTGCCTTCTTTTGGGCTTCTTGTTCCTTGAGAGAAACAAACTTCTATTTAGCTGAGCTGCTGTAGTTGGGTTTTAGTTCAGTGCAGCCCCACACAGGTCCCAGTGGTAAACCTGAAGCGCAACTCACCCAAAGCTGAGGCAGCATCTCCTTCCCATCCTGTTCCTCAGTGTCTTTTCTATCCCATTGTCCTCGTGGACATTCCGGACGCCATTTTTGGTCCCACCACAGCCTCACTCCTCGCATGCTGCAATCTTTGTTCCATGGCAGCTGCTGAAGGCTCTCTGGGTGCAGCTGGGTGGGCTCCGCAGCCCTGAGCAGCTGGAGTGCAGCCTCTAGCACCCCTGGGGAGCTGGTTGCAGCAGCCTCTGCTTTGGGGAAATCCCAGGCACACTGTGGTTGTGGAGGCCAGTGTGGCTGGGTGATGGGACAGCAGGATATCCCAGTCAGGGATATCCCTGTAGGTCCTCATCCAGCTCATCCCCTGAGGGACCTGCATGACTTGGTTCCCATGTCATCCTTCCAAGCAGGAAAGGGTCCAGTGGAGATTGTGCCTTGAGCATCATCATTAATAAAATTAATATCCTGTTGTTTCTTCTCACATCTAGTAGCCACCAGAATATTATCATAATATTAACCTTTTATTCTCCCTTCCCATATTGCATTAGGAGGGGGAGTGGTGGAAATGAGACAAATTTATAGGCATGTGGACCTTCGAGAAGCTTCAGGCATGGGCTTCAAAGATGAATACTAGTTGTCATGTTTGATCAACCACCAAGTCCTTTTGTTCTGTCCCCTAAATTTTGCTCTAGCTGGTCCATGTCTGTACATCCTCATGGCTGCTATTCCATCCAGGCCCCCATGCCGCTTGCATGCATTTAAGTGTGACTTCCTAATTGCTCTCCCAAGCCCAGGTTTGCTTCCTTTCAACCCATTTCCCACCCTGCATTCCCAGTGATCCTGTCTGCTCACCTTACTTCCCTACTTCCAACGATGAAGTTCCTCTCCTGACTTCAGGATGAAGAGCAGACTCCCTTGCCTGCTTTACAATGACCTTCATGGAGAGGGCTTTGGCTGCTGAATGATTTCTGTCAATGATGCTGCACTTTCTCACATCTCCACCACTTCAGAAACACCATTTTCTTTCCTCAAATATTCTTCACCTTCCTCCCTCCCATTCCTCGTCCTAATTCCTGCTTACTTTCCAGGTTCCTGCTTAGATGCCACTTCCTTCAGGAGGCTGACTGAGCTTCACGATGCCGGGATGTTCTGCCCTCCGAGCTCCCAGAGCACCTTGTAAAAATCCCCGCAGAACAGCGTGGACACTGGGGCAGAAAGAGTTGGGTTTGTATTCAGGGTCAGTCACTTGCCACGTGGCCTTGGGCAAGTCACCCTTTTTGACTCAGTTTCCTCATCCACAAAAATGAGACTAACACTAGTAGCTACCTCTCATTGCTTCTGATAAGGAGATAATGCATGTAATTTGTGATGTTACAATGAAGGAAACTCAGTAGGCCCACAGGAAGTGATTTTGTGACTGCTCTAATTGTCTATAAATCATCAGCTTGTGTCTTATTCACCAGAGCAGCTTTAGCACCAGGTACCTGCTGAAAACAACACGTGCTCCAACAGCCCTTGCTGAATGAATGAAGGAATGGAAGGAATATGTAATTTATTCCCACCACCACCTTCTCCCTCATTTCTAAAGGGGTTTAGTTATATTTCAAAACAGAATTAAGTTGTACTTTGAACTAAGGGTTATTTCAAGAGGTTCGTATATATCAACTCATTTAATTTTTATAACCACTCTAAGAAGTTGTCATTATTCCTGTTTGATAGGTAAGAAAGTGAGGTCACAGTCACACTGACAGTCTGGGGCAGAGCTCTGATCCCTACTCAGGGCTGGCTGACTCCAAAGGTGTTCAGTTATTGGCACTGAGGGCACAGTGACGAAGAGGCCTGTGGTTTACTATTGGCCCATTTCCTCAGGGGTCTGAACTCTAAGTCTTTGAGAGAGTGTCTGTAGTGAATGTGGGTGTATATGTGTTTATATATACCTGCTGGACACCTGGAATTATAAGAAAGCACATCTGTAACTCACGCTGGTGGAGCAGCTGCACACAGAAGGTTTATAGTGATGCTGGGGACGGGACGGGACAGAGGAGGACAGAAAATGCCTCTGTGCATATCTGTATGTTTGCACGGGCAGCTGTCTAACCTGAGGCTATGCCCAGGGCCCTGGTGGGTGAAGGGCGGCAGGAGAACAGCCTGGCAGGGCTGGGTGCAGGGGCAGGGCTGAGGACGAGAGACAGTGCTGGTCAACCCGGGAGCCAATGAGACACGCTTTCCCCTAAACATAATGGGTGTGTCTCACAGGGGCATGCCAGAGGGCTGGAGGCTGGCTGATCAATATTTTGTTGATACTAAGAGTTATTTCAAACCTATCTTTAACATTTGTGCATGTAGTATTAAAAAGACAACTTTTTATTGCTTGGGAATGGTGGTAGGTACTTACAGCCAGGTAGGTCTCTGGCTGTAAGAACAGGTATAGGAAAATCAGGCTGGAAAATGTATTTAAAAAAAATCCTCACAAGAGGACATGCTTATTGATTTTAGACAGAGAGAGAGGAAAGGATGGGGAGGGAGAGAAACATCAATCGGGGGCCTCTCACACACTCCCCTACCGGGGACCAAAACTGAACCCAGGCATCTGCCCTGATTGGGAAGCAAACCTGCGACCTTTCAGTTTAGCAGATGATGCTCTAAACAACTGAGCCACACTAACCAGGGCAGGTTGGTGAAGATCTAAGACGTTCCATGGAAAGAAGTATGAGAAGAAACCCAGAACAGGAGAAGACAGAGTAGATGGGGTCCTTTATTATAGTCACAATCAGACCTGCTGTGGGTATTTGGGAGAGTGAGCAGCTGAGCTAGGTCAGGAGCTAGGTCATGAAGTGAAATGGGTTGGGTGACCCACGTCCTGAAACACTGTGCTGGAATTGCTGAGGGTGTGTGGGGTGTCACATTCTCATCCCCAGCAACCACTGCTTTCTCCTTCAGAATCCCACACCAAAATCACACTCTAGCATTGGGTGACAGTCAGAAGGGATGAAGGTTGTGGGTGGAAGATGAATGCTCTAGAAATGGCCAATACTAGCAACATGGTAAGGCAAAAAATAAACGCCACATCTCTCAAAGAAGTTGGCAAGGCTTAAATGATAGCATTTTATCCCTTGGGCATTAATTCTGATAAAATATACCTAATGGCTAACTGAATAAAGAGAACATGTGCTTCATTTTCCCATTCCATCTTTCAAACTGTTCTTTTACAGTTTGTTTTCCATAAAAGATAAGTTAGTTATCTCAACCTTCCAAATAATAAACTGTGAATGATTAACTGATCCATGGGTCCCAGTACTGTATAAGTTACTGTAATTATGGTATTTCCATACCCCTTATTCACCAATCAGTGAAGTGTGACTTAAAACAGGTTAAGCCCTGGCCGATGTGGCTCAGGTGGTTGGATCATCATCTGGTTTGATTCCTGGTCAGTGCACATACCTAGGTTGTGGGTTCGGTCCCTCGTTGGGGCGTGAACTGATCAATGTTTCTCTCTTACATTGATGTTTCTCTCCCTCTCTCTCTACCTCCCTTCTCTTCTCTCTAAAATCAACAAGCATGCACTCAGGTGAGAATTAAAATAAAAAACAGATTAATTATGGTTCTAGGAAAATCTTTACTGGAAATTATACTGTTTCAATATGGCAACCTAAACTAAAACTGAGATTATAGGTCACTTACTGAATTTCTAACATGAGTCATCTCCTTAAAAGTTGAATTGAAAGAGAGACGTCTTATACTTTGTCAACAACTGTGTTACTTACTGGGAATAGTAAAAAGCATAGAGAATGAACATATGTATGCAAAAATGAAAGTCTGACATTCTCTTTGTTAGAATTCTTATTTGCTTTGTTCTTCCTTCCAGGATCAGTTAGGCAGGCCCACGGGTTGGCTGCTAAGCTGAGGGAGGACTGAAGGAGATGTGCTTTTCAAGCCCAACTGAGCGTCAGTTTTACTGTAACGATACTTGATAGATTCTGTTTCTGGCTGAGGGTTTTGTTGTTCAAAACCAGCTGTGGAATTAAAAAAATGAAGTATAACTTTTCACTTAAGAGCTTCTGATTTGCACTATTCACTTTCAAAATTCCAGAGACTCAAATCCAAGAAGGGGAAAGGCTTCTGACAGGTCAATTTTGCACTTCAAAACCCCCTCCCTACCCTCTTCCCCCTGGACATATGGCTTGAAAAAACTCTACGTGCCCCACTTTCAAATTCCTCCTTTTTTGAGACACTTCTTTCTGTTTATTGGTTTCCATAACACCAGGATTCTCTTGCTTTTGGCTGACTAAAAGAAGTGGAAAAGTGATTAGTGGGAAGACCACCAGTCACTTTTGATTAGAGACCACCAAAATGACTGGACTCAAAATTTAACTCTACTGATCTTCCACTCACTATTGTGCTTCATCAGAGTTGACTGGACTAATCCTGGGGTAGCCATTAGCTGGTTAGAAAAGCCTGACACCATGTGGCCTTGTTCAGTACTACAGCTGCTTCTTCACCTAGGAGGCTCAATTTGTAAATTCGTCCTGGGTGCTTACCTCGGATGCAGTGAGTTAAAGGCATGTGCCCTCGGTGATTTTACATTTTACAAATCTTATACCTGAAAGAGGCATGTCCTAAAGAGATCTTATACCTGTTTCACTTATATCTCCAGAGTCATCTTTTTTGATGGAAAAGCAGGAGACATGTTCAGAGCCTCCATTTTATCAACAGAAAAACAGGGGAGGTTTCTCTTGATTTCCAGCTAGGACTTCCTAGGTAGGGTACACCAGTTCACGATTGTCTCCTCTCTCTCCCTCTCTCCCTCTCTCTCTCTCTCTCTCTCTCTCTCTCTCTCTCTTTCTCTCTCTCTCTCACTCTCTTTCTCTCTGGCCTTGAGTAGGGCATTCCAAGAGCTAAACAATAACAACAAAAACATTAAATGTCATTTTAAAAAGTTAAAATTTGAAGAAATTAGGAGACAATATTGCACTGGAAGGAGTACAAAACAGGGAACCAGGAGATTGTATTTCTAGCTCTGGTTCTGTTGCAGACCTGTTGTGGTAGTGGTGGGGGGGAATGTACGCTCTATGGGTTTCATTCCTATAAAGTTAAGATGTTGGACCCAATTACCTCCAAGGCCCTCTGTGGCTCTAAACTTCTCTGATCTGCCCACAGATGGCATTTCCTTCGCTCTGCACAAGGTCTCCTGGCCAGGTGTGCTCCTGAGCACACTGAAACTGCTTCTTATCTTCACCCATCACTGCCTCGGGTCCTGAGATCACTCTCAGCTTAGGTCATCCAACCGTATCTGCTACTTTTCAATCACGTGTGTCTCTGAGGGCCAATTTTTGAGTCAGTCCATGGGAACACACTGATCTTGTTCAGTTCATCATGCCCATAAAAAAATGAAGTCATTGGCTTAATTAAACCGTTAGGAGAAAAATGTATTTATTCATTGGCAAATGATGCAAACTCAATCTGGGATCTCTAAACAAATTAATATCTTGCTCTTTTATTCTACTCATAAGTTTTATGACCCATACCAGTTTCATGTATATTGTTCTCTTCACTTTAACTTGTTCTTATCCTATGGCTGTAGGATCTTGACCTTAGCGGTACAAAGACTGGCTGCCATCAGAAATGTGATGGTATTCGTGTGGACATTCGGTAGTACCTCCCGTCGCATCTCCTTCTGAAGATACACAGTAAAAAGACAGAAGCCCTGACACCAAAGAGCATACAGTTTACAAGAGACCGGAGGTACGCACAGAAAGCTCCGTCAGCACAGAGGAGTGATGCCTAAGCAACGTGGGTGCGCTGCTCGGGAAGTGCTGGAGGACGTGTATGAGTTAGATAAGCAAGAAGGGGCTGGGTGGGGGAGGGGTTTAAGGGAAAATTCATCCCTTGAAATAAGAATTTACCCAGTACTTATCATTGTTTTCAATCATTTGGCTTTTTCTGACTTCCGATATGTAGGATTTCAAACATATTTGATTCTAACCCAATTTATTTCTCAGCTTAAATTTATTTTGCAATATCCGGTCTGGGGTAGTCACCTGTCCTAGTTTCTATGTGATGCAAGCACTTGCAGAACCCTGAGGTAGAAGATCCTTGGCTGTTTTAGTCAACCTCCCTGGATCCCACAGTTTCTTCCAGGAAACTGGTCACCCATGGGTTTAGTCACAGGTGTTCTCCCTGTGGAATAGGACATAAGGGTTGGAGGTGTAAGTACTAAGATGGAATGAATGTTTTGGGGGTGTACTGTGTAGTAAAAGAAAACAGGAAGACTTTCTTTCCAATGAGTCCATGTTACTCAGGAGGAAAAAGCAGACTTGCCTACGTGCAGCCAGCCGGAGTCCACCTCCACGCTCCTTCCACTGCTTCTCAGGCCCCTGGCTGTCCTCTCAGGATTCAGAGCAGTGGTTCTCAACCTGGGGCCATTGTGTCCCCCAGGGCACATTTAGAAACGTCTAGAGACAATTTTGATTGTTGCAACTTAGAGGAGCTGCTGCTGGGATCTGGGTGGTGTAGAGGTCACCCAGCTGTTAAACATCCCCCAGTGCCCAGGAAGAGCCCCCACAAGGAACTGTTCCCTCTGAGACTTCAACAGCGCTGAGACCTAGAAAAGTTGGGTAGGGGGTACCCAACCTTCCTTTGCCAATTTTATTTCTTTTACTGAAATTACAAGTAGTCATTAAAACACTTAAAAAAAAGACCTTTTTTCCAGTGTGACACTGAGGGGGTTCGGGGGGAGGTGGGCAGGGAGGAAGTCCCAGCTGGCCTTGGGACATGTGATCTCCTGTCTGTCTTCCCAAACCTTCTGCCCTTCCCCAAAGCCCCCCAGTCAAATGGTTTGGTACAAAAACAAACAAACAAAAAAACACCAGGAAAATTTAGGGCATAAATGTTGGGAAGCTATCGCACTCTATTTGGAGTATAATAAAAGCCTCTTAATCAACTTCTCCCTGCCATTTACCGACTTCTCCGTAAAACTTACAGATGGATCCCACAGCACGCTCAATGCGCTTGATTTTCTCTAGTATCTTCCACCGTTTCTGCACACTGGCTTATGCTAGATGTAATTATATAACTTGAACACTTAAACCAAAGAGATGTGGTGAAAGGAAAGCCGGAGATAGGAATTTGTGCTATCTTGCCCTGCCCGAACACTCACACATTTTTCAGAGCTCATTGGTTTACCTCTCCTTGTCCTTTGTCCTAACTCCTGACCCCGCAGGTACCACCGGGTTCTGCTGGAAGGCTGTCATGTTACCTGGATTCCACCTTCTTCTCTGTACAACAGCCACAGTTTTCGATCTCTTGTTAATACAGAATGGGCTTATTAGTGAAATGAGCCAGTTGGTGAAAGACAAATACCATGTGATCTCACTAATAAGAGGAGCCTAATGAACAAAATAAACTAGTGAGCAAAACAGAACCAGAGGCATGGAAACATGGAACAGACTGACAGCTGTGAGAGGGGAGGAGAAGCGGGAATTGACTGAAAGAAGGTGAAGGGACTGGTCACAGATCGTGTGTGACGGACCCATGGACACGGACAACAGTGTGGTGACTGTGGCAGTGGGGGCACAGGTTGGGAGGAGGGGGGCAAAGGAAGAAAGTGACAACTGTAAAAGCATGAACAATAAACTATTAAAAAAAGAAAATATTAAGGATAATTGATAAGTTCATTATCTTAATTGTGGTGATAATTTCAAGGGTCAATGTATTTGTCAAAATTAATCGAATGCTTTAAATGTGTGCAGTTTATAATCTATCAAAGTATATCTTAAAAAGCTATAATTTTAAAGATAAAAAAAAAAAAGAATCCCCTTAGATGAGTTCCCTTCTCCTGAATGAGGATGGGGAAGAGAGAGTCTGGAAAACTGTACACTAGGTATGACTCACTGAGGAAAAATCGCAAGAAGAGCAACTTTTAAAATTTCTTTATTTATAGACATTTCAGAACCATTTAGATCAACAACAATTTTTTTAGACATAACATACCATGTTTATCTTGAGGTACACATTGGGCCCATTAGATAACGCTCTGGAAAATAATGCAACTGTTAACTGGTAGTTAACAACTTCAGTTTTCCAAGCCATGAAAGAGTAAAAGGTTATAAAATTCTTTGAAGAGAATATATCATTTCCATTTACGTTAAGGAAAATGCCGCCATCTTTAATGGAGTTCAATTTTTAGGCTTAGCTTAAAGAGCATTTTAAATGGAACTTAACATGAAAGTGGGAGAAGGGGTTCATAGCTAAGAAATCATCTGAGCCCTACTACGTGAGATTGTAAACAAAGGAAATCTGTAATCTGATCAGCTCATTACAAAAATCATAGCCTAAAAATTAGAGCAGCAAAATTACAGAAGATAGTTCTATATAGTTTTAACTGAAATCACGTTTACCTCCGGCTTCCACAATTAGACAAATGTTAAAACACCAAATTTTAAAGACTCAACGATGCGATTTGACAAGTGGCCACAGAAACTCCACAATACTACAGCCCCGCACCAGAGAAGTCCTGCTCCCCACCTTCCCACTCCGGCATTCCACTCCCATTGCCCTAGCAGCCTGGGGCACTGATTGGAGTAGAGAAGCAGTGGGAACTGATACAGTGGATGTAGTTCTGAGAGTCTCATGTGCCCAACATCAGAACTAACTTTTCTGGTGGACAAAGTTAAAATTTTCTTTGACTAGTTTACGAGGTTCTTTGGAGAACTGTTTTGTTTTCCAGTTTGTTATTCAAAATGTTAATCTTATACTCTTGAGGCACGATGACTATGACTTGTTAAACATAGTGTTTGGAAAATGAAGGACCCTCTATCCATCCACACTTACCCCCGAACTTCTTGAGGAGCTACATGGATGCCGTGCAGGTGGTTCTGGAATGTGAACAAAGGGTGTTTATGGATGTGTCTGAGAACAGCTGGAATGGACTGTCATAATATTTTCCCATAAGGTTGTTGTTTTATTTCCACGAGACAAGAATAAACACTGCAATGGAGTCGAAGGGGCAGCTTGCTGCAACTTCATAAACTTAAATGGTATATGTGGGTTGAAAGAATATAAACGTAAATTTCACAGTTCATAAAGCTGAGCAGCTCAACTTCAAGGAGAGAGGCAGTGCAGGCGTTGGCAAGATTCTGAAAAGGAGTTGATGTGTGTTTGAGTTCTCCCCCGCAACCTGAGCCAGGCCCACATTTTACATTTCAGTTGCTTGGTTTGGTTTTCTGCTGATTTTCTTTTCTGATGGGGCCATGATGATTTTAGCCATGAATTTAAGGATCCCTAAAAGGGTCCTGTGTAGACAGACCCTTTCTCCCAAGTGCTGTGGTCACTGCACTGTCTATAGGGAACCGACTAGATGTCCTTGGTCTTGACCTGGTTGGTTGGAAAAAAATTCTGCTTGTGGGGAATACCTATACTTCACTATTCACTACAAAAACCACAGCTGTCAGAAGGGAGAGGCTGCTTCCTTCCTACCCCTGCTCTGATTTCTCGTCTACATTCTCTCCGGCTAAGCATGCCTTCGTTAGCCAGGGTCCAAGGTCCCCTATGGACACGTTCAGTTCAGGAACAGCAATTACATTTGTCTGTGGCTTCAGAGATGCTGGAGAAATTTATTACAGTTAAAAAAATCTCAAATCAGTCAAAGAGAAGGCTAGCCAGTGGGAGTCAGAGTTGCTTTCTGCCTCCAACATATTCCAAGTTGTCAGTGTCTTGTGGTATTGTATTTGTTTTATATCCCTTTAATAGAGGCCATATTTCTTCCATCTGTGGGTTCTTTAAAGACAGGACACACTTAATTCTCCATACCTCCAACTGCCCAGAGGGTTTCATGTCCTTCCCCACACATTCATGCTCTCGGCAACTGCGATTTGTAATGTAAATATTATGACTTCCAAGAGGGCAGGAGCTGTGTCCTTGGTCAGCGTTGCTGAGCCACGCCAGCCTAGTGCCGGGCACAGGGAAGAGCTTGATGGATTTGGAACACACGAATCAAAGGCCAGAGTCCCTGCCTTGCCCTCAAGGACTCTCTATGTTGCCATCAACACAAACTCAACATAAATATGACAAGACAAAAATAAACAGAAACTATTTTGGGTAAAGTTTTTGCAAAAAAAGATAAAAGCATCAGTTGTTTATGTGGGGTGCCCCTTGTAGTAAACCCAAACTCAGCGCTTTCCTCCTGCCTGAACTTGTGTCCAAGGGCTACATGTGTAAAAAATGAATTTGGCAAGAGTTTGCCCCCCCGCAAAATGCAGCTTCTCCATGGCATCCTGTCTTTTTATTTTAAAGGGAAAATTCTGAGAGGTTAGCATCACTAAGGAAGTTGCCCCTCAGAGAGGATGCTCGCTCAACATGAGAGTAGCTGAGAGGCCTCCTGCCCTGTGAGTGCGCTATGGAAAACGTCTACGTATATTTTTAGAAAAGACATTTAAGATGGAAAACAAAGAGGTATCAATTCATCTCAGTTCTAAACCATGAGATAGATTACAAATATCTTGAACACCAAGAAATAAAGCCGTATTGCACAGGTATGCAAAATTAAATGGGTGGGTCTGCCTTTACATTTTTTATTTATTTTGGTGAACAGGAAGAGTGGATAATGAGATGTAAGCGCATCCTGCAAGCCACACTGACACCTCAGTCACAGACTGTCCCTACATCCGGAATCTGGGGACATTCTCCAGGGCTAATATGGTGACAGCTTGCTTGGGGAACTAAAACTTTGCTCAGATATATATTACTGCAAAAAGTCTAAAATGATGGCGAGGCCATTATATTTTGGAATATTTAATCAATTTGGCGAAATTTGACAGAATCATGTTCTGAAATTCTTAAGTATGGTAGTAGTGTATTTTCTTTGGAAGGGAGGAACGAAGAGGTTTATGCACTAAACAAATACTCTTAGCAATACTTTAAAAAATGTCTCAACAGATGTGGCCCATATAGTAACAGAAGATGGTTGTGTGATATCTGAGAGCACCTAACACACTTGGAGAAATCTGTTCAGACCTCACTTCAGAAATCAGGAGAATAAGATGCTTAAACCTGGGAAGAACTGTCACTGGACAGAAACTGTCATTTCCCCAGACACAGGCATGGGAGTATTATATGTCAAACCCAGCCCCACATGGGCTTAAAATCAAATTTAATTCTTCCATATAGACTCTCTACTGATTCCTTCCAAGGTTTTAGTGATGAAGCTCTAATGAGTCTGAGCTTCAAGGGGCAGGGTTCTGAGAACCTTTGGGTCATTCCGTCCACTCTTCCTAAGAGTCAGCTTAGTTAACAGCCCCACACCTCAGTGGGTATTGGGAAATGAACAGGCATTATCTAAAATAGCAGACTCAAATGATGTTTACAACATATACATTTGTACCGTGTACACATACATGTATGGTTCTTTTCTGTGTTTTTCTTCTGCTCAGGAAAGTTAGCAGCAGTTACAGATCATTGCTGTGGCCATGGTTTGCTCGGTCTCTAAGGAAGTCATTTATCTTCTGTCAACACGTGACTTTTGGAAAATGCCTTTTGATGAAAAGATCCCCACCAAGCATATAACATTAAAGTGTCATCACTAACATTGTCAGGCACAAGAGTAAAACAATTAGCATTGAGTAATCCAAACAACAGAGCACAGAATAGAGTTAATTGTCTAAAGTCGATTCCCCCAAAGGAAGGAATTATTGTTCAAAAGTGTGTGTGTGTGTGTGTGTTTAAGATTCTTATGTCTTTCAGCTTTGGCTATTTTGTAATAAATATCATACCTTCTTGCACAGGCCTACTGGGTGAGAATTACTTCTCTGAACGTGCCTTTTGTTTAGCAGCTGTTGAGTGTTGAGTGGTGTACAAGGCACACCTCTAGGTGTTCTGTACAGCATTTTTATTGACGTACAAAATAGCCTGTTCACCATTCAAAAGCGGAATCTGTATAGTAAGAGTTTCTCTTATCCCTATTTACAGAGAAGGTTTTTAGTGCAAAAAACATGAAATCGTGTCCCAGCCCACCCCTTCTAGCACACACATGTATCAGTTTTGTTCAATGCTAGCTGGGGTTATTTGTCTATATTTTGGGCCTCCAGCCGTTAATGAATTGCATGATTTTCTTCACCTGCAGTTTGCTTAATTTGAAATCCTCTGAGAGGATTTCTTCTGTTAGTTGAACAAGCAAATTCCCATCAATCTTTTCAGTAACGAAGAACGATATGACATCCTCAGACAAACCAATAAACCGTAAGGACTTGGACACTTCTTCTATTGACAGCCCTGAGAGGTCGGCGGGCGGCTGCCATGGGGAGCCGTCGCCGCAGGACCTGGGGGCCAGCTGGAGGTGGAGCGGGGATGAGAAGGGGTAAGAGACCGAGAAGATGTCCTGCATGCCCTTTTTAACAAAATACTGGTCCTCCGAGAGGTCCGGTGACCCAGACTTGGGGTCTTCCTCAGCACCATCGATTTTCAGAGGCAAAGGGGAAGTTCCGGAGGAGGCTTTCTCTTCCACTGGTTTGGGGGCCCTGGGCGGCAAGGCAGGGCACGAGATACTCTGCTTTGTTGTGCCGGCTGTGAGAGTTTTCCGATCTGTGCTCTCCAGACAGTAGCTTGCTGACTTGGGACAACCGGAGACGCTGCTACTGGGCTCTGCAGGGGCTGAGCTGGTGGGGCAGGCCGAGGACTCAGGGCCTTCAAAATCAAAAGGTGCCGGGCAGTTTCTCTTTGGTGTGCCTGGGGTCTTCTGCCGAGGGTAACTGTAACTCCGGCTTGGATCCAGCAGGAAGTCGCTCCTGGTCTGGCTCTCCGCTGCTCCCGAGTAATGGTTAGGCCAAGAGAGGCGGGAGGAGAGCGCGTCGGCAGAAGGACTTCCCGAGGGGGACTTCAGGTCCACAGAATCGGCTTTCCCTCGGTTGCACGGATAGCAGGAAACAGGAGCACTTTCAGAAGGGCTGGTGTCGCTCTTAGTGACGCTGCTTCAAAGTAAGGAGAGAAAGAGAGATTAGTTAAAAAAAAAAGCCCAATCCCAATACTTTCTTTCTCCCATAGACCTTACTTCTGATTAGAAAAATGTAGTTAGAAAAATATATATTTCTTTAGCATGAATTCAGTAAAGTACCTGCTAACCTCATTGAATTTTTAAAGACAGAATATTTAAATTAGTAAAAATACTGGTAATTATGGATATAAACATAATGATTTAAAATGCTACAGTGGAGATAGCAAATATATAACTTTTTTTAACTAGCAATAAAATCATTGTTCGTGGATGTCTAGATCTTTATGACAAGAAAAATTGTTATGCCATGTTTGGGCATATTATCAACAGGCACTGTGATTGATTAGTGATGTCTGCAGGGGGCGAGGGTGGGGTGCCAAGGCAGTCTAGGGTGCCTCATGCTTGCCACCCTTGTACTAGGGATATGACTACATCACCACCACCCATGACTCTATTTCCATCCAAAAGCCTGAGGGAGGAGGGGATGCTTCAAATAAAATGCTTATACTTGTCTTAGTTTCTGTGCAATGAGTCATATTAGCATAAAGATTTAAATGTATGGAAAACAAAAAATACCTGCAAAGATGAGCTACTTAAAACTGTACAGATCAGCAGTGGAGTCATGCGAGTGCATTCAGCTCTGGGGCCCTAGCTTAAGAGTGACAGTGAGGCCAGAGTGTGCTCAGGGGTGGGTGACCAGACGCCCAGGGAAACTGCTACCAGAACTGAGAAGACGTACATCCTAGCTGAGTTTACGTTTCCACGGGGCTGACAAAGAGAGGTAAGGTGGACCTGTATTTGCTTTTCTAGACATGAGAAACACTTGGAAATTACATGGAAATAGATTTCAGCTCGATGTGATGAAAGATTTTGGGGAAAAAAAAAGTGAACAGCACTTGCCAACAATGAAATGAGCTGCACTGCAAAAGAATGAGCTCCCAGCACCGGAAGGATCCAGACTGAAGTGAATGACTGCCTGACCACGATGGTCAAGAAGGGATTCCTGTCCTGGGTGCAAATTCCAAGGAGAGAGGGAGCCAAAGGTCCCTTTCAATGCTAAGTCCTGGGTGAAGGTGCCGTCTGCCTGTGTTGAAGTCCAAGTAGAAGGAACTCTGCGCTGGTGTGTTAGAGCTGAGAGTGGCCTGTGGGTCGCTTCTAAGAGAATCCAGTTGGCCTGTATCCCTGAACTTCTCACAGACTCTGAGATCTTTTCTTCCTAGGAGACTGGCTCTTTCACCCTAGCTTAAACCCAACGTGCTGTCCCAGGAAACGTTTTTAAGACCATACAGAACATTTCCTCTCCCACCACCTGTCTCAGTGACAGCTACCTCGACACAGCTCTCAAGCCCCTGTGACCTGGTCGATGTGCAGAGTCCTGTGGAAGAGGCCCCTGGCGTGAAGACTTACATGTCGTGCAGCCCTGAAGAATAGTAGGACAAGGTGGGGCTGGGAGAGCGAGTCTGCTGCCGCGCTGGCTTGACTGAGCGAGGAGGGATGGAGGGACTGGTGGACAAAGGCTTTGTGCTCCGGGGCGGAACAGGTGGGGCGTTCAGGAGCCGGCACTCTTCCCTGACCTGGCGCAGAAAAGAACACTCTGGGTTAGCAACAGACCGACAAGGCCACGGGCCGGCTCCGCCCTGCAGGGAGGGCCAAGCCACTGCTCCCCAACTGTAACAGCAGGGCTGTGGGGACCGAGAGACAGGACCAGGGCAAACAAGAGTGAAGGGACACACAGCAGCTGCTGGAGGTAAAACCGACACCCTCCATGCCCTTGCTGAGACGGAATGGTTTTAAAAGACACTGCGTGGCAAGTGCCAGCTGCTGTAGAAATTCAGCAAGTTGTGTGAAATACAGCAAGTGAAAGAGGTAGTGTCAGGTGAGCACGTATAAACCAAGAGTATTAAGAAAATAAGGGCATAAGGAAATCATGATCTTAACAGAGGATTCAATTCTCCTATTCAGTTGTTTATTCACTCTTCAGACTGAATTCAGTTTGATGTAAACCTTTGAGCACAGTGGGCCTTCTCCAGGGTCAAAGCTCTTTCTGAAGTGACACTCATGGCTTCTCACGTGTTCATGGGGACCTTGTTACCGTGAATTTATGGGAACCTTGTTAACGGGTAGATTCTGATTCAGGGGGCCATGGGAGGGGCCTAAGACTCTGCATTTTTAATAAGCTCTCCGGAGATGCCATGCTGCCGGACCATGGACACTCCAAGAAACAAGGCTGCACCTGGAGTAATAAGGCAGCTCTCTAAATCCCCCAAACAGTGCTTTTCATCACACCACCAACTGTCGTCTTCCCTTCGTCTTCACATGGAGAGGATCTAGGTGACCTGCCATGTCCTTGGCTTCTGCGAACTGCCTGCATTCACTGCGGGCATTCAGCTTATGACGCTTTTTAATGAAGTGGAAGTTTTTATGTACTTCTCTGTGTTGGACAGCAGGGGGCAGTTTATACCTGGATCTGCTAGATTACCCTAAAAGACACAGTTTGTAAAAATAGAGCCAACTGTGACTGTCAGAAATACCGTTGTCTGCTGTTCAGCTGTGTCCCCACCAATTTCTTCACCTTGGCCTTCACTTCGTTTCTGTCCCAGAAGCTCTGGGGTAACAGAGACAATGAAACAGCCAGCTCCTGTTAGATTGGGTATTGAGTTTGCTTAAGACCAAATGAAATGAGTTCATGTTGTATTGCACCTTCTACCTACCACCTACACTGCACACCGGGGCTCTAACTGGCCTCCCAGGCCTGAACCATGTGCCAGATGGGAAATCAGATGGGAAGAAAAGTCACGTGTCCATGGTGACCCGGAAAACCTCAATTCTAAGTGAAATGGAAGCAATTAAAAAAAAATCTGGTTCGCTGGATTTCTTCCTGGGGCTGGGGGTCCCTGCTCACACCTGGCGGACCTGGTGCCCTGCTTGTTGGGACCCACTGGTCACAGTTTTTTTCATCGGGAGAGCTCCTTAGGCTAAAATATAATATTCAGAGACGCAGAGTTTCTTCTTTTGGGTTTTCCCCTTTTGAGCTTTCAAAAAGGGTGTGGTGGTGGGTGACTGCAGAAAGAAAACCAGGGGGGAAAAGAGGTTTGGATGAAGAAGAGAGAGGGTCGCTCAGCTGGCTCTTGTACCACTTTGGGGTCTTCTCAAGAAGATGAGAATCCACTAGGACATCAGAAAGCTCTGGCTGGGTCATCCCCTCCCCTGGCTTGTGGGAATACATACTGGCTACAAATAAGTAACCAATATACTGTGTCGCCTTGTTTCTGCCTCCTTACCAGTGAACTGTAAAGTAACCAGTTATGTTTCTTTTCTTGCTTAGGGAATGTCTGCAGAATCTAGGATAGATGGGTGTAACTTTATTACAGATGTTGGTTGCATTTATGCTTACAGTATTAGTTATTATGAAAAATGAGAAGATGAGAAGCCTGTCAGCTAACTTTTTCATTTTAAAAATAAACATGGAGTTATTTCTCAACGTTGGGTTAAAGAGAAACATGGGAAAAAACATGGTGAATGCTGAATCTGATTTAGAATTTCCTAAAGTTTGGAATTAGTCATTAAGTACGACACTTCATTAGAGACCGCTTACCTAGATGCCAATTTTAATATGCTGAGATGTCAATTACCATATGCATTTTAATTTAAAGTAATCAGCTGACCTAGGTCTCAGAACACACAAAAGCCAGTTGTAGTTGAATCTGACCTATGAGAAATCCTCTCTTTCTATTCTTAAAACCCACCCCCGGAGCATTCAAGGTCACTTAGACCTGGTCCTGCCACCTCCTTCCATAAACTGGGCTTCCTAAAGAGCTTTCCAATAGGTTTCCCACATGAGAGGAGATGGAGGGAGGGGTTGTAGTGAAAAGAGGCATTTACTGGCCACAGGACTCTGTGAGGTGAGCTATGGTGCACTGGGAGTGTTTACAGCTAGACTCCAAACAGCACTGCAGATACAGAAAGCCTTTGGGTGGGTACACTCCTGCAAGGAGTTGAAGAATGAGAGAGTGTGTGTGAGAGCATGAGTGAATGTGTGTGATTCTTACTCTTGGGAGGAGGGACATGGCCGGCAAAGAGATAGTAATCGAAAGCCAGAGAGAGACTTTCTGCTGTTCTGATGATGAGGCAGTTCAGGTATAATCATGTGAGTTCAAAACGAAAGAACCAGGCTTATTTGAAACCCATTTTGGAGAAAAGGTAGTGAAGACAAAAAAAAATGAGTTTAACAGGGTCCCATCCACGACAAGAACTCAGATGTAGCTCTGTCAGAGCACTGAACGTGCTGCACCAGGCAGGGGCGTGAGGGTGGCCCCTGGACCCTGCAGACACATCTCCCTGGGCTACTTCCAATGTGCTGCTGCGCATGCGGTCCCTCCAGTGAAGTCACACTTCACTGCATTTTATGGGAAACAGGATATGTTTGGTGGGATGCATATATCTTGGGATTCAGAAGTTATAAATCATGAGGGTTTACCGTACCATCTTACTTCCTCTTACATCTTATAGCAGTAAACATTCTACCTTCTCTTGCTCCTTGATTTGCTCAATGTGGGACTTTATACCCAAGAAAAATGTAGCTGTGCTTGAAATAAATTTTATCTTACAACAAAAGGCAATTTACAAGACTGGATGGCCAATCACCCATTTCCAGTTTCCTCTCATACTCAATTTCACATTCAAGTGCTGTATTTTCAGCCCATTCCTTCTAAAGGTCTCAGCCTGTGGCCTTCATCATGTTGCTCCCCATTGCCAGTGGCCCCTCTGATAACTGGAAAAGGTCCAGCCTGTCCAGCCTTCCACTGGGGCCCCCTGCCGTCTTTCTAGCTCTTTCTTCTAGCTAGAAGAAATGACTGCACCTTACTCACCTTTCTAGTTACTCCCCCCACTACTCTATATTAACACACAGGTCCGCCCAACGTGGTGGATTCAGTGTTACCTAAACAGCTTGTGTTTCGCTGCTACCCACTGTTTTAATTCTCACGGCCCATCCCCACTGAAATGCCAGTTCCGAAGTCCCAGCCCCAGCCACTACAGGCTCAGACAGGGACCATCACAACTGTGGACTCCGCTAACACAGTCCACTCACTTACGTTCCATCTATATTCAATTAGCCTGAAAATGAAAACAGTGGGGACTGTCACTGTTATTGCTGCCCTGTGGATGGCAGAGTTTGGGAACTTTTCACCTCTGGCATGAATATGTCACACAGAAAGCTAGGCAGACATTAACAGATGCTACTCCCCTGCCCCCCCAAAAAGGGCGTTTTTATTTTTAAATATACACCATAAGAATGCCATTTATATCTTTGTGTGGAACTGGTTATTGATACGTCATTTGGATGGGTGTTATTTTTTTGTCCTCACAGCAGTGTCATTTTAGGGGAAAACGGTGCCAGCAGCCCTGGCGCATACGACCGCCAGCGTCCACTCCACCGTCAGTGCCACCACTGACTCAGCATTACAGTGAAAATGACAGTGATGATGTCATGAACTGGCAGACGTGGCTTTCTTCGTCAGCAACCCCAGAGCAATTAATTAATATTCTAAGATGAGGATGTAACAGAACCCACGTGCCTGGGGGACGAGAGCGCCTCTCTCCACGGCCAACGCGGCATTTGAGGCTGCGCTCCAGCTGGAGTCCGGGGAGGGGGAGGTGTACGGAGTAGCAGGAACAAACCTCCACCAATCCTGCTGCTACGCAGGGGGCAGGTGTTCTGTTTTAGGGCAGGTGCTACTATGCATTGCAGGTTCTGGGTGACCTCCGCCTGGGTGTTTGCAGAGGGTCTCCGGGCTCCCCAGTTCCGACAGGGTCAGTGAGCACAGCATGGGCTCAGGAGGCAGCAGGGAGCCTCTGGTCTAGAGCTGGTCTCTCCAGCCACTGCACTCTCAGCACAAGTCTCTCCTCCTTTCTCCTTCACACGATGTCTTTCCCTTTTCTAAAACACTCAGTAATTCAATTCTCATCACACAGAAGATCCCACTCTCCGGGATTAAAACAACTGTCCTTGTTTTTCATGCAGCAGTTTGCTAACTCAGGGCTAAACAGAAAGCTAATTTATTGAAAAATGATGAGTTCTGCTCTTTCTAGATCTGCAATTTTTCTTAAGTCTATGAGGCATACAGGGTGGGGGAAAAGTAGGTTTGCAGTTGTTCGTATGGAAAAGAATACGATAATTAATCAGCAGTACTGTAAGAATAAACTCTGTGTTTCACACACTCCCAGCTGTAAACCCACTTTTGCCCCACCCTGTGTTCTCAGGGGGGCGTATTCAGGAGACTGCCCCCTAACACAGTGATGTAATCTAACGGTGGGGTTTGAAGTGCGCTATGACAGGCGTCTGTCCTGGGGGCTCCCAGCCAGGGTCGCAGTGACCATGCACCTCCACCACCCCTAAGTTCTGATGGGCACGGCCGTCCCTTTCCCTTTTCCTACCTGCTACCTTCATTCCATTTTTGCTACTGGTTTGTTGAAGTACTCGTGGTGTGCCTGTCCTATGCTTGTTGAGTCAGTGTTGAGTATACAGAAAGGAGCAACTCGTGGAATTGTTTGGAAGGGAGGGAGGGGAACACAT